CACCTCACCTCACCTCACCTCACCTCACCTCACCTCACTTTACGCCATTCCAAATCAGCTTACCTCAGTCATCTGACAGCACCTTACGTAATGCTTGTTGTTGTTAAAGCAAGACTATTAGTTCTGATCGATTCGCTAAATGTATGGATGGGAAAAAAGAAAATACCTCGTGAATGAAAAATAAGATGAATGACAGGAAAGAAAGTAAACGTGTCGATGAATGAATAAATGAGTTTGTTTTGTAAGTTATCTTATGCATGTTATTTAATTAAGCTACTCTGCCTGGTTCGTTTTTTGATTTACTCTTTTTTCCCTGCGTGCCCATACTTTTGCATTTGTCCATAGAATATAAGCGTAAATACTCAAAATATCATTACTACACTACAGCTGTTCACGCTATATATTTAAGAGGATAAAAGGATCGGCAAAATCAACAAAGCTCACTAATTTCACTACCAATTTTCTAAATTGCCTAATCAATTTTGCTCCGGAGCTCTCTGACTCTGGAAATGRGCAGAAGAAAAGAAAAAAGGCGCAATTCTCGCTATTTTCAATTACTTACCCGAATGACGATCTGTTTCCGTCTCAGCTTGTTTATTAGCTTGGCTACACAGTCTCTTACGAACTCACGAACACAATATTAAAGTATAAATTATTAATAACCTTACCACGTGTTTTTGTTGGGCTTAAGAGTGCGTCCCGCCGTTCTTCGCAGCCATCGCTGTACTATTCTCTGCACGATCCACTGTGCTCCCACGAAGTTTTATCTCACTCAGATTACTGACTGCATTGATGAAAATGAATATCGCTGTCAAGATCACCTAATGTTTACACAAAGAAAATCTGACAAAAGATTTGTTGGTGACTTTAAGCGGAGAGCCATACTGACAGAGAGCAAGGGGGACGGTGGATTTATCGAATCGAAAACTCCGTGTGAGACGAGTATTTTGCAAGGGTTTCGTACTGTTCAAAGCAGTATGACGTCAAGGCTTATCTTTTTCAAAACTCTCTTGTGGTAATTTTCACGATCATTGGACGCGACCCATGCCAAGACGAAAAGAAATCATCAGCAAGAGCGTACATTTTTTGACAGTGGGCCTTTGATTCCATGCTTAGAGACATGGTTCTTTTCTAAATATTGTCTAGTTCTAGGTCAATGCCGTGCGATCGAAATAATCCAAATTCTAAAAGTGTTTCTTAATATTTTTTGTTTTGTTTCATCAGCAAGAACCTACTATAGGCTTGTTTTAACAAGATATAACTAGCTAAAAACTAGTGTGAGCTGCGTCGGTGTTTCTAATGAAACAGTAATGATGAACAGGTAAATTATACACCGTGAAAAGATGAAAAAACTTACTGACGTTTCGGACGCCAGTCCTTCGTCGGAGTAAAGGACTAGCGTCCGAAACGTCAGTAAGTTTTTTCATCTTTTCACGGTGTATAATTTGCTTGTTTTAACGGATAGTCCTAGATCAATACATAGAAAATAATTACAATTTCTGAAGGAATGATTTTTCCTTACATTTTCCTTTCTAATTCAAGTTAAAGACCAGATTTAACTTACTGCAAGATAATACTTTTGTGGGTGTCATTAGCAAAAACCTACTCATGGCAAATAGTCCTAAATCAATGCATATGAAAAATTACAATTTTTGAAGAAATATCTTATTTTTCCTTACATCAAAAACCAGATTTAACTTACGAGAAATTAATTTTATTGTTATTCACTTCCGTAAATTCTGGTTCGTTTAATTAAAAAAAATAAACAGATCGCAAGCATCATGACCACGTTTATTCTTCCCATATATTAAGGCAGACATAACCACGTTTTCATCGTTTCCCTGCATTTCACTTTACCTTTTGCAAACCTTCTCCCTAAAGACGACCACATTTTGTTTATCTCTTCTACTGGGAGATTTTTGCCATTCTTTTTAACTAATTTTAAATATTTGTTTTCACTTGTCAACCGTCGTTTCGCGCTTGCAGTAAACGAAATGCTTAACCGGCTAGAATCTTAAAACGATACGTTCAGTTCTGTCCTCGACAATTGTTCATAATCTTCAACTCTCCAAACGGGGCCTTCAAAACATAAACGTATTTTGGTTACAATTCAATATTACTTTATAAGTTAATGAAATTAGGAATTATAGAGTATAAATTATTTAAATATTTAGAAAAAGGCACCCCAAAAAAGTCGTCGGTGTTGCGGTTATCTAGCGCTGCTTTCACTTGTTTTGGAAATTCCTATGGCGCGAATGAGTGAAGAAAGTCGCCCGAGTTAATGAAGTTTGCGAGCGCGAAATTCTATCTATTGAATTTACTAGTTATTACAGTGTTGAGTATGGAAGTTTTGTGTGCTGATCTTTACTGATAAATTTATTCTTTTAGAATCTAGACTAGGTACGATGGATTAGGAGGTTATAATAGTATTGTTGTTGATTTCAAGGGGAAAAAATAATACACATTCAATATTCATGTCTATTTCCATCTAAAGAAAATTGAAGTATTAATGAGCCTATAAAGCAAGGGGGAAAGTAAATGGAGAGGAAAGGAAAGAAGAAAGGAAATGGGGAACAAAGAAGGATAGAAGATTAAAAAAAAGCGAAATAAATGAGACGAGAAGGAAAGACTGAAAAGCAGGGCAGGCCAGGGCAGGGCAGGCCAGGGCAGGGCAGGCCAGGGCATTGCAGGGCATGTGTCCTTTATTTTCTAACGAAGTTTTCTTAAATATACTCAACGGCGAAAGCTTTTTTATATTTTATTTTTACTCAGACGAATGACTTGAATACGATGGAGAACCAGGCAATAGCTGTTCAAATTAAGGATAGAGTAGTGCTATAAAGCGCTCTTCCCTTACCACTGGGGTCTCTGGTTCGATTCCTGAACTTGGCATTACATGTAAGTAACTGTTTTTAGATTTCTCCCTTCGTAATTTAAAAATATTTCTTCGGGTTATCCGGTTTAATTTTTCTCCCTCCGCAAAATCCAACACGCTAAATTCAAATTTGATCTGTGAGTTAGCCAGGTCAGGAT